GAGAGCGAGACCTGTCCTGGGTTCAAGGACGCTGCGGGCGTGACCCCGGCGGACTTCCTTGGAAACCTCAACAGTTCCCTGGACGATGAAGATTCAGCGGATGCCGACATCCTGAAGAAGATGGTCGTCGATGCTTGCATCAAGATCGGAGTACCCGAAGCCTTGGACAAATCGTTGGTAGAGATCAGGGATTTGCTCAGCAAATTCATTGTTTACCGCAAGGACGATCCATCAAGTATTTCCAGCAGGGTATGCCCAGCATGCGCTATCATTATTCCAAGGGGATTTTGCTATTGCACGGCATGCCAATGCGAGTTCATTTCCACCGGCAAGGTCGTGATCCATGTGGACGACGACGAGGCCAAACCATCCGACACCACCAATGTGACGGAGGAAGTGAAACAAGCTCAGCGAGAAGCAAAGGAGGATGCTGAGCGATTCGTCGCCGAAGAAGAACAACCCGACACCCACGAGATGAGTGAGGAACGGTCTGCAGACAGATCGTACATCCCGTCGGACATCGGGACGGACATCGACGATGAAGATGTGGGAGTTTGTCCGGACAACCCAGACGCAATCCATCTCCTGCAAGTCAAAGCCATCTGCGTTGACGAATCCGGTGAGGCATCGTACCTCTCCGGATTCATTGGCGTCGTACTTTTCAAAGCGTGGAAGGTGTTCGCCAACAACGAGGCAGATGCCGCCAAGGAGCCTGGCAAAGAAGGCGGACTCTACTGTCCCTACATCTTGTTCAACGGGAGGGATGATTGGATCTTCAAAGATGTCGATGAGACGAACATTCCAATCCCGCGAAGAGGTCACTGCCGCTCCAAAGTTCAAGAATGTGAGGTTCAAGAGCACGAACCACAGGGGCGAAGAAATGTTCTTTTGGTTCCTGAAGCTAAGAGGGCTATACTTCATGTACTGGATCTGGACCGCCAGCAATACTCGGTATCAAAGCAGAGCAGTTCAGAGGTGTCAGTCATCTGAAGGACATCGGATTCGTCAGCGGCGCAATATTCCGTTGCATCGCCCTCGGCCTCAACTGCGATTACATGACCTTCTGCCGAACAGATGTGAACATTCGGCGCAAGTTCTTGAAACTTGAGCTTGGTGCAATCATTTGCATTCAAGGAGTAAAAGAGGTCGACACTCCTCTTATCCAATGGTGCTATTCTCGCAACATACATCTGCCCTCGCGATTTATCGAGAAGATCAATCGGACCGAGGAGACACCAGGTTCTCTGTTAGAAAGGTTCCGGTGGAGAGCGAGTAGAAAGGCCATCGCAGAGTCATCACACTGGTGATCAAGCATTTTCTTTACGATTTCTTCTACGTGGGGGATCAACTGGAATTTGCAATTATAGACAGAGGGATCGTGATACTCATCGTGAATGGTATCATGGCCAGCCCTCGTGGTACTCGTCGTGCACGGTACACCGGGCAAACCAAAAGTATTTGTGCGAGACTTGCATTTATCATCACAAAATGTTTTCTTGTTTCCGTACAGTATAGTCATCGACGACTACTATTCTGGAGATGCTAGGTATTTGGTGGTCAACGATTATTCGGTGCTATAGTTATTATTGGTTACAAATTGGTGATGGACTATGCTCGTCATGGATATTCGTCTGCAGACTGCCATGGACCTGTGCAATTACTTTATGGATAGCTTGCTGCATGTGCAACACTGCGCCTGAGGTCCGGTAAGAGACCTGTATTATTCTTGTTTCCTGTTTAGTTTCAGAACCTGGTCGAACTCGTGCAGAGACGTTTCACTGAACCATGCGTGTCGGCATGCGTTTGAGATTGGTTCCCGACCCAGGGATGAACCCAAGCCCGGGATGGGGGCTGCTAAAAATCTCCGAGCCGCAGGCTAAAACATCCTAAGGGCAGGTTCTGAGGGTCGCCCTGTTACTTCCCCTTGTTTAAGGTCTCAAACCTTTTGGGGAGAATGTGTTTTGTGTGCAGTCGACATGTACATGCGAATGCATTTGGCTCAAGTGAGTCAACTGGCTCAAGACCTTGATAATAGAATCGAGGCAAACATCCAAACACTGCTGTGAAACAAAGCAAAAGGGTTCGTATTCCGCGGTCGCATCGAGTCGTGAGACGACGCAGATCATTTACCTTACAACCCCCTTTTACCACGACCGCTACTATACGACTTTCTGTCGAGGGTATTGGTCACCCCACGGGAGTCGAACCTCAACTGCCCTGTCATTTGACTACGTGGTTGATCCGCCTCCTGGCACGTTCCGTCATAATCTGGAAACACAAATGCGATTCTAAATCGGGATTTCCCATATTTCGGAAACATAGTCATCAAGAAAATGCGGGGCTTGTTGCCCAGGAAATTCCTTGCATGGCTGATGCCGCACAGTGCCTCAAGAGCTTGCAGGATCTGTCAGGCTTTACCCGGATTTGATTTCTATTATGTCGCAGGCGTCGGGAGAACAGTCGGCTCAATCTCTGTACTCTCCAGAGGATGAAGTGGACAATCTGCTGTGCCTTGGAGTCATCAAAGGAGAATTACCTGCAGATGGGTTCTGCATTCATGATGGTCCTTCTCATGTCGATCTGCTGGTTGTGGCATACCATCGGAACGATATCGGTTCCGTAACCATCCGGACCGGCATTGGTATGGCAACAAATGCTGTAGATCTTCTTGATGTTTCTGAGATTGAAGAAACTGAGAAGTCTGTGTTACACGTTCGTCGAGCCCTTCAGGAAGAACTTCTTCAGCGTTCTTGAAATAGTTGACTCCTTCATCAGGATCTTGCAAAAGGTCATTCTGGATGCCTTGTACATGAGCGTCTCCAAGTCTGCTGTTGAGGAGTGGTTCTCTCTTGGGTGCTTCGATCGTGGTGAAGGTCACCCAATCATCGACGAGTTCTTCATATCTAAACCAGGTGGCTTTTCCGTCGTACGATGGCGGCTGCTTGGCGGTCATCGATAAGTTTAGCGTCTCTTCAGTGAAGCCGGATGATCGGCCAACGCTTGAATAGGCCTCCATGAAGTCCATCGGATGCATCTTGTTTGGATCTCTGCGGAAAACCTGCTCCGCTACAAAAATTGAGGCGTACTGCCTAGGGTATCTTATCCCCGAAGGGAACCGATACCTTGTGGTAGTAGAGGATCCTTATTTGGTCCCTGGATCTATTCCGGAGAGTCCAAGTGTCAATACTGATGGATTGATCTTGGATTGATCTTGGATTGCCCTGTTTGACTGTGTTCTGTGGTTTACCCTGACAGTGGTCCGCTGTAGCACCTTTGTATCGCGGATGCAATGGCTCAGTGAGCTATGTACATCTGATGTGTGACGTGAAAGGCCTTGAGCCAAAATGGTGTTGCGTGGAGATCAATGGGTTCGAAAACGACCACACAAAACATTCCCCGGACCACCTCCGCTTGGGGTAGTCGACTGTTCTGTTTCCATTGGCTCGCTCGATGTGAATAGATGTGCGAACTTTGATTCGCAGACCTAATAATCAACGCAATCCATCCATGTTACAAGGCAAAACGTGTCGCACAAATTTCACATATGATTCTGTGTTTAGACGTTATAAACAGTCTGTTCTAGTTGCTCAATGTGGAACCTAAGCGATATCCTCAGGGCCATCTTTGATTCGAGAGACCCGCGCGCCTGTTCAAACACTGAAGCTTTTACCCAAGTTACGCGCTTCCCGAGAGATTCAAGACAAATAATGCGCTTTGTTCGTTCTCTTTGGTTCAAGAGACCCCACACACCTGTTCAATCACTGAAGCTTTTACCCACCACACGCTTCCCAAAAGATTAAAGATGAACAATGCGGTTTGTTCATTCTTAATCCCAGGGCCATCTTTGATTCAAGAGACCCCGCACACCTGTTCAATCACTGAAGCTTTTACCCACTACACGCATCGCAAAAGATTACAACAATGCGTCATTCTTAACCCCAGGGCCATCTTTGATTCAAGAGACCCCACACACTTGTTCAAGCACTGAAGCTGTTACCCACTACGCGCTTCCCGAAAGGTTAAAGATATGAAAAATGCGCTTTGTTCAGTCTTAGTCCCAGGGCCGTCTTTGATTGGAAGCAGCATTGATTGGCGGATGGCGGATTGTGCCGTTTTCGGATTAGCTCACGCGGCTTGCGGACTGCAGATTATGGGTTGCGTGGATTTTCGATGCAGGTTATGGGTTGCGGGTATTGGATCAGGTTCTGTATTACGCTTGGCGCAAGTATGACACCCTTCGGAAACGGCTCAGATTCGCATTTTTAGAGGCCAACTTGGGCTACATGGCCGTAAAAGGTAAACTTTTTCAGAGTCCTATGTTGTAGGACCAGATTGCCCTGCAAGAGGCACAAGCGAAACGAGACAGGATGAGATGGCATGAGTGGAGGCCAAAACTGACCACGGACACACCGATACCTTGCCACACGCTAGCTTTCGTTCCCTGCTTCTCAAGTAAAGTCAGGTTCAGGTCAGGTACACCTTGCCCAAGCCAACGAGAATTTAGCGAGGAACACGTGTCTAGCCCACCGTTGCCCCAGGAGTTGCGAGGAATAATAAAGACATAGAGCAAAATGAGCTGGATGGAAACCGTTCACAACCCCGGATAAATGCTGGTAAATGAAGATCAGGGGGCAGTGTAAAATGAACCAGATCTTGATTGGGATTTGGTTTGTTTCCTGCTCTAACTCCCATGCCTTGCATGACCCTGATCCGCTGAAACACTATGTGTTTACTCTTTTCTGCTCCCTTCGACAGGATAGTTTCATGTTGAAGAAAGACGTGATAAGCTTGTTTTGAGCTACGAAGCAAACACGCACCAACAGAGAGAGCGCACACAAGCACCAACGACAAGCTGCACCAAGCACTGATGCGGCTATTCTGACCGCACATTTGTCATCAACATTTGGATGTGGCCGATATGCATGGATGGCTTGCGCTGCCATCCCATGTTTGGGGAAGGTGACCGATATAATTTGAATCCTTTGCACGGGCCGTGCCAGGATCAGCTCTTCTTTCGGACCACTTATTTTGAGGGCTTCGAGCGAGTGGAAGCAGACATTCAAGCCGCACCAGATACGTCTCTTGTAGAGGTTGGACCTTTTCATGTTTCCTGTGCATGAGAGGTTCTCATTTTTCAACCGCAGGGCGGCATCATTTACACCTCTGGTGTGGGCATACTACGCGGTGCACTGAAAGATGGAGCGCTCGAACCTGAGAAGCCACGAGGCCACGAGGCCTTCGGCCTGACCCATGGCACAGCCCAGGCCGTGGGTGGAGCCCGCCCAAGTGGACGTGCTTTGGTGCACGGCTTTGAAACAAAAATAAACAAACAGAGAGAGAGAGAGAAACTTTGTCAAGCCAAGGTTCACTCTGCCTTTGCATCCTCATCATGGTGAGCAGGCAGGCATACAATTATTTTGCGTGGTACTGCATCAAAAGCAAGCGTGCAATACTTGTTCCATGCAGGTTGTATCAGTAATACTAGCGTGTGGATGTGGGTCGTCGAGCTACAAGGAAATCTATGCTCGAGAAGAGTGCAGCGCTCGGCATCACTTGGTTTGGCGGGGGATTCCAGTTGCCCTGACGTGAGGGAACGCAACCTGGTTTCAGCAGCTTTGGATCGTGCCTTCGCCTGGGCATGTGCTCATGGCGCCGACGCGCTTGTCCTGCGAGCTCCTCGGAACACTCCGAACTGGGACTGGGAGTGATCCAACTCTCTTGCTGTCAGGCCTCCCTTTGCGTGCCAGGGCGGCTTTCTCCACCCAAGGCGCCGGTAGCGCATTCTTTGCGCATGCACAATATTGTGCCAGGCTACACTTCGCAGGGCTTGTGCATGAGGTGGGGAAGGGGACACTCTGGCTGTCTAGCCTAGCCTTGCTTGAATGTTAAGGGCGCAAAATGTTTGAAGCACACAGAGCGTGGACTGCAGACCTTACAGAGAGCTGGCAAGGTCTCCAGGTTGCACGAGCGGCACTTGCCTTCGGTGTGTGTGGCATCTGAGCATCCTTCGCATGACGTCCACCAAGCCTGTATTGGACAGTACTGGATCAGAATCAGTGCTGCCTTTCTTTGTTATTTATAGCTCTGTTCGCAATGGCAGGCTGCATGGTGGGATGGCTTTGCTGATGGTGTGCGCCACTCATTACCCTCAGAGCCCGTGCAAAATTAGTCTTGATTCAACAGTCTTGATGGATTGCATTTTTTTTTCTGGGAGGGCGTCAAAGCGCAAGCCAGGTGGTAAACGGACGACCTGTGCCTCCTGCCTGGCTGGCTGGCTTCTGTTGCAGCTTCTATGTTGCCTGCAGTCCTTGAGTCACAAACATGTTAAATCATGTCCTACCCCGTGCGTGGGGCGCATCAAGCTCTTGTGCTCCGCACATCCGTTTACGAACACCTCTGCCAGCCCATCATTCATGTGCCGACGATTCCACTGATGACGGACAAGCTCGTGGGAAAGGACTGCAGCTTCAGCTGAGCGCTCTCTAGCATGCCTGGTTGGACAGGATGCTTCGGCACTTCTCGAGAAGAGACGCAAGCAGCACGCTGTCAGGATCCCACTAGAGGTTATGCTGAATGCAGACATCGTGGAATCATTTTCTTTTATAATATGATTGTAATGCAGACATCGTGGAATCATTTTCTTATTTGGGAGCGCAGCCAAGGTTTGGTCTTCACCAGGAACGCGACAATTCCGCACCAGCTTCATGTGACGTTCGCAGCATCCTCAATGGATCACGCCGCCACATGCCCACTTTGAACAGGGTGCTCTAGACATGTGTGTTCAATCGTGTTGTGAGTGAAAACAATTCCCTTGTTTTTCAAGATGTGATCTGCACCGCAGCGAGTCACGCTCCGAAGATCGGAGGGTGGTCGACCTTCATATTGTGCAGAAAGAACTGGCGCGCCGGCCCTTCCCTGAATAGTTGAGAGAAAACGTACCTACCCAAGCAAGCCAAATATCAAGACATCATATCATGAAACGGGATATGAGCCAGCTTCAAAATGACCGTCATTCACCAAAAAACAATACCCCAAAATGAAGCCTGAGAGAAGAACCTGAACAACGGTACGGGATGTCTAACGTCGGAATGAACACACCCCAGATGCAATGCAGTGGAGTGAAATGGAATGTAATGGCATGGAATGCAATATAATGAAATGTAATGGAACACCCTACCATTCAACCACACAGCAAACAACTCCCGTAGCTCAAAAGTCGTAGAATGCAAAGCCATGTAATGCCATGTAGTGCAACGCAATGGAGTGCGAGGAATTGGGAATGCAACGGAATGTCATTGAATGCACTAGGAATGCAATGGAGTGCAGTGGAATGCAATGGAACAACGGGATGCGTATGTACTGGGCCCTGGGAGATGTACTGGGAGATGTACTGGGAGATGTATGGGAGATGTTTGGGAGATGTATGGGAGATGTAATATAAATGTAATACAGTTGCAATGAATGCAATGGCAAGGCATGTACTGGAATGTAATGGAGCGCAGAGGAAAGTAATGAAATGAAGCCGAATGTAGTTGTGTAGTGGAGTGTAGCGAATGCAGTGAAATGTAGTGGAATGGACTGAAATGTGATGGAATGGAATGCAAGATGTCATAGGAGATGTAATGGGAGATCTAGTGGGAGATGAAATGGGAGATGTAATGGGATGTCATGGAATGTAGTGGACTGTAACTTAATGCGAGGGAATGTAATGGAGTGTACTGGATGGATGCAATATGATTGAGTGGAATGTAATGGAATGTAATGGAATGTAATGGAATGTATTGGCATGTATTGGCATGTATTGGCATGTATTGGCATGTATTGGCATGTAGTGGAATGGAATGGGATTCAACGGAATGCAACGAAATGTAATGGAATGCAACGGGAGATGTCATGAGAGATGTAATGGGATGTAGTGGAATAAAGTGGAATGGAATGGAGCCTAGTGGAATGTAGTGGAATGCAGTGTAGGGTAAGCGAGTGCAATTGAATTTTTTGCAATTCAATGCAGTGGAAGGGGCTGGAATGCAATGGAATGCAATGCAATGGAGTGTAGTGGAATGCAATGGAATGAAATGCAATGCAATGTAGTGGAATGCAATGAACTGCATGGAACGTACTGGAGCGCAATTGGAACTAATGGAAGGCAAGGGGAGATGTAATGGAATATGATGGAATGTAGCCGAATGCAATGGAATTTTAACGCCTCCGGCTCAGGCCGCCGACATTACAGGCCTGCTTTCTTATTTGCGTCCCTTTGGAATTGTCCCCTTGCCCCCTTCCCCTCTGATATTTTTGCCCCCCTTTCTTTGTTGAGATCCATTCCCCCTTTCCGCCCTAAGGCCTTTTCTCCCTCTGATTTTTTCCCTTTTCCTCCCCAAGATGTTTTCCCCCCTCTCCCTGTTGAGATCCTTTCCCCCCTTTCCCCCCTAAGGCGTTTTCCCCCTGAGATCTTCTCCCTTTTCCTCCCTTTCCCCCACTTTCCCCCCGACGGCCTTTTCCTCCCTGGGATCTTTTTCCTTTCCTCCCTGAGATCTTTCCCCCCCTTTCCCTGTTGAGATCCTTTCCCCCCTACGGCCTTTCCCCCCGCTGAGATCTTCTCCATATTCCTCCTTAAGATCCTTTTCCTTCCTAAGATTGTTTCCCCCCTTTCCCTGTTGAGATCCTTCCCACCCTTTCCCCCCTCAGGCCTTTCCCCCCCTGAGAGCTTCTCCCTTTTCCTTCCATTCCCTGTTGGCCATTTTTCCCCCAGATCTTCTCCCTTTCCTCCCTAAGATCTTTTCCACCCCTTTCCCTGTTGAGATCATTTCTCCCCTTTCCCCCCTACGGCCTTTGCCCCCAGATCTTCTCCCTTTCCTCCCTAAGATCTTTCCCCCCCTTTCCCTGCTCAGATCCTTTCCCCCCTTTCCCCCCTAAGGCCTTCCCCCCCCTGAGATCTTCTCCCTTTTCCTCCCTAAAATCTTTTGCCACCTTTCCCTGTTGAGATCCATTCCCCCTTTCCCCCCTAAGGCCCTTTCTCCCTCTGAGTTTTTCCCTTTTCCTCCCTACGATGTTTTCCCCCCTCTCCCTGTTGAGATCCTGTCCCTCCTTTCCCCCCTAAGGCCTTTTTTCCCCCCGCGATCTTCCCCCTTTTCCTTCCTAAGATCTTTTCCCCCCTTTCCTTGTTGAGATCCTTTCCCGCCCTTTCCCCCCTAAGGCGTTTTCCCCCCCAAGATCTTCTCCCTTTTCCTTTCTAAGATCCTTTGCCCCCTTTTCCTGTTGAGGTCCTTTCCCCTCTTTCCCCCCTAAGGCCTTTCCCCCCCTGAGATCTTCTCCCTTGTCCTCCCCAAGATCTTTTCCCTTGGTTGAGATCCTTTCCCCCTTTCCCCCCAAGATCTTCTCCCTTTTCCTCCCTAGGATCCTCTCCCACCTTTCCCTGTTGAGCTCCTTTCCCCCTTTTCCCCCTAAGGCCTTTTCAGCTATTCTCCCTTTTCCTCCCGAAGATCCTTTGCCCCCTTTCCCTGTTGAGATCCTTTCCCCCTTTCCCCCCTAAGGCCTTTTCCCTGCCTGGGATCTTCTCCCTTTCCTCACTGAGATCTTTCCCCCCCTTTCCCTGTTGAGATCCTTTCCCTCCTTTCCTTCCCGCTGAGATCTTCTCCCTATTCCTGCTTAAGATCCTTTGCCTCCTTTCCCCGTTGAGATCCTTTCCCCCCTTCCCTTTAAGGCCTTTCCAGATCTTTTCCCTTTTCCTTCCTAAGATTGTTTCCCCCCTTTCCCTGTTGAGATCCTTCCCACCCTTTCCCGCCCAAGGCCTCTCCCCCCTGAGAGCTTCTCCCTTTTCCTTCCTTAGATCTTTCCCCCCTTTCCCTGTTGGCCTTTTTTGTGCAGATCTCCTCCCTTTCCTCCCTAAGATCTTTTCCACCCCTTTCCTGTTGAGATCATTTCTCCCCTTTCCCCTCTAAGGCCTTTGTCCCCAGATCTTCTCCCTTTCCTCCCTAAGATCTTCCCCCCCCCCCCTTTCCCTGCTGAGATCCTTTTCGCCCTTTCCCCCCTAAGGCCTTTCCCCCCCCCTGAGAGCTTCTCCCTTTTCCTTCCTAAATCTTTTCCCCCCTTTCCCTGTTGGGCTTTCCCCCCTAAGTCCTTTTCTCCCAGATCTTCTCCCTTTCCTCCCTAAGATCTTCCCCCCCCCCCTTTCCTCCTTAAGATCTTTCCCACCCTTTCCCTGTTGAGATCCTTTCCCCCCTTTCCCTCCCAAGGCCTTTCCCCCCCCCTGAGAGCTTCTCCCTTTTCCTTCCTAAGATCTTTTCCCCCCTTTCCCTGTTGGGCTTTCCCCCCTCAGTCCTTTTCTCCCAGATCTTCTCCCTTTCCTCCTAAGATCTTCCCCCCCCCCCCTTTCCTTCCTAAGATTGTTTCCCCCCTTTCCCTGTTGAGATCCTTCCCACCCTTTCCCCCTGAGGCCTTTTCCCCCCTGAGAGCTTCTCCTTCCTTAGATCGTTCCCCCCTGTCCCTGTTGGCCTTTTTTCCCCCAGATCTTCTCCCTTTCCTCCCTAAGATCTTTTCCACCCCTTTCCCTGTTGAGATCATTTCTCCCCTTTCCCCCCTAAGGCC